ATAGGTACTACTGATGCACTTTTTAATTTTTTTATCCTCACCCGAGGACATTTTTGCATTTATTTTCAGGTAGAGTGGGAGGGAGAGAGGGAGGAAGAGAGAGAGAGAAACATCGATGTGAGAGAGACACATCCATCGGTTGCCACCCACTCAACCCCAGCCGGAGCTGGGGAGGAGCTGCAACTAAGGTACGTGCCTTTAGCAGGAACCGAACCCGAGACTCCCTGGTCCACGGGCCGACGCTCTAACCACTGAGCCAAACCAGCCAGGGTTGTTGCACATTTTATAAGGCATTAGAATATTTCAGTAGTTTAAGTTATTTCAAAGTTTATAATTCTTTCATGATACATTTTTGTCATGCAGTGGATTAATTTAATAACAAATTTTAGTTGGAAAACCAGTCCTCTATCTACAATATTTTTAAAAGTTTTTTTTAATTGAGCTATCATTGACACGACATTATATTAGTTTCAGGTGTACAATGTAATGATATAATATTAGTATATATTGCAAAATGATCACCACAGTAAGTCCAGTTAATAGCCACCGATATACTGAGCGACACATTTTCTTTCTTGTGATGAGAACTTTCCAGATCCACTTTTTTCGCTACTTTCAAATCTGCGGTACAGTGTTAACTGCAGTTCCCCTATTGTTCTTATAGGGAAATATAATTTACATCATGAGATACTTTTGGGCTGATGAGACACTTTTTGATAACATAACGTTCCAAGAATATTGTGGGTAAAATGTGTTTTTAAAAAAATTGGGAGTGAATTTCTTCTGCTGAAGCTTTTCAGCTACTCGTGCAGCGAAGCATGTCGCCGGTGATTGATGATTTTCAGGTTTGGCAGTGACACTGGACAAAGCTGAAGTGGGCCCATACTTTGCAAACATGACCACAGCCTCGCTGCACCCTCTAGACTTCCTCCCCTTGCCTGGTGGCCGGGATGGGACTCTCCACACGGACCATAAATCGCCACGCAGGACTGTGCTCTATTTCACAGTGGGGTTGGAGAGATGAAGGAGGCGGGGCTAAATCACCCGTCACACAGCACGCCTTCCCCGAAATCGCCGAAGTGTCTTTCATCTTCCCGTGGAACCCCTTTTCCCGTGATAGCCGCCTCTTTCCCCATCACGGAGGCTTGCTCAACCAGGTGCCCGTGCATGGTTTTGTTTCAGAAGAGAGTGATGTAAAGAAGTAGGCAGCCCACGTAATGAAAGAGGTGATGGGAGCAGCCAGGTTCTCAGGGTAGAGGGGCTGGTGTCTGAACCCCAGCAGGACATATCCTTTGTCTCCACCAGCAGAACTATGGGGACCTCGCCAGAGCAGCCCTGCTGGGGGGTGAGGTTTTCCTGCCGCCACACCCAACTCTCCAGCCCTCTTAGAGATTCTACAGGTTTTTAAATATCTCTCATAAATGATTTTTCTGCTTCATTGACTAGAGTGGGTTATTTCTTTAATGCTATCAAAACACTGACTAGAAAATTGGACAGCTACATGCAAAATAATGAAACTAGACCATCAACTTACACCATACACAAAAATAAACTCAAAATGGATAAAAGACTTAAATGTGACCCGTGAATCCATAAAAATTCTAGAAGAAAATGTAGGCAACAAAATTTCGGACATCATACGGAGCAGAATTTTCACTGATACATCACCTAAGGCAACAGGAACAAAGGAAAAAATGAACACATGGGACTACATCAAACTAAAAAGCTTCTGCACAGCAAAAGAAACAATCATCAAAATGGAAAGGCAACCCACTGTATGAGAGAACATCATTGCCAATGATACATCAAATAAGGGGTTAATTTCCAATACATATAGAGTGCTCCTACAACTCCACAAAAGGAAGACAATAAACCCAATTTAAAAATGGGCAGAGGAGCTGAATAGACACCTCTCCAAACAGGACGTACAAATGGCCAAAAGACATATGAAGAAATGCTCAACATCACTAATCATCAGAGAGATGCAAATTAAAGCAACAATGAAGTATCACCTCACACCTGTCAGAATGGCCGCCATCAACAAATCATCAAACAACAAGTGTTGGCGAGGGTGTGGAGAAAAGGGGACTCTAGTACACTGCTGGTGGGAATGCAGACTGGTGCAGCCGCTATGGAAAACAATATGGTGTTACCTCAAAAAATTAAAAATTGAACTTCCATTTGACCCAGTGATCCCACTGCTAGGAATATACCCTAAGAAGCCTGAAACACCAATCAGGAAGAATATATGTACCCCCATGTTCATAGCAGCACTATTTACAATAGCTAAGATCTGGAAACAGCCCAAGTGTCCATCAGTAGATGAATGGATAAAAAAGCTGTGGTACATATACACAATGGAGTACTATGCAGCTGTAAGAAAGAAAGATCTTTTATCCTTTGAGACGACATGGAGGGACATGGAAAGTATTATCCTAAGTGAAACAAGCCAAGCAGAAAAAGACAAATACCACATGATCTCACTTATATACGGAATATAATGAACATAACAGTCTGAGGAATACAGTAGACCCAGAAACATGGAAGTAGGGCACAGACTGACATCCCTCAGAAGAGGTGGTGGGGGGTTGGGGGGTGGGAAGAGATAAACCACAGAACTTATATGCATGTATTCATGACCAATGGACATGGACAACTAAGCCGGGGACGGGGCAGAGGTGGGGTGGGGTGGGGGGTGCCAATGGGGTAAAAAGGTAAAATATCTGTAACAAAAAAATAAATAAAAAATTTATAAAAAAAACCCAAAAAAACAAAAAAAAACCACTGACTAATCTGCCTTGATCTCAACCTCAGCCCCCAAGCCGGTTTCAGCCTTTCCAGACGGTCACTTGCCGGCTTCCCCGTCTCAGCACTCTCTTACGAAACAGGGAAGAGGCAGAGAGCAGTCCAGCAAAACAAAACCTGCCACCGCCTTGGGACACTCAGTTCGTCCAAGAACAACAACAACAAAAACAAGAGCAAAAATACAAGTGGTGGCTGGGGCTGGCAGCCAAGGCATGGTGTCTGGCTAGACAGTCTTTCTGGACCCGGGCTGCATTGTTTGGCTGCCAGATCTTTGCCCACACGTTGCTGAGGTTGTACAGGTAAACTTGGTGCTCTGTGGGCTGGGTTAGACATCTCTAACATCATCTCTGGCTCCAGTATCATATTATTCTAGAAACAGTATCAGTTGACACTGTTGATCACTCCATTCTTTCCTTGTTTTCTGTGACACCACGCTACTTTGAATTTTCTCCTATTTTCGGATTGCTCTTAAGAAGAAAAACAGTTCCTCTTCCTCTGCTTAGCTTTTAGTTTTATTTTGTAAGCATTTATTGAATAAGCAACACACACATGTATATAAGAAAAGTATTCACCCTGGCTGGTTTGGCTCAGCAGTTAGAGTATTGGCCCGTGGACCAAAGAATCTCGGGTTCGATTCCGGTCAAGGGCACATACCTCAGTTGTTTGGTCCCTGGCCCTAGTTGTGCGGGAGGCAACCAATCGATGTGTTCCTGTCACATCACTGTTTCTCTCTCTCTTCCTCCCACCCTCCCTCCCATTCTATCTGAAGATAGATGAAAAAATATTCTTGGGTGAGGATTTTAAAAAAAAAATTCAATAAAAAGTAAAGGTGTGTGGCCCTGGCCAGTTTGGCTCAGCGGTTAGAGCGTCGGCCTGTGGTCCGGAGAGACCTGGGTTCGGTTCCCGCTAAGGGCACGTACTTCGGTTGCAGTTTGTCCCCGGCCCTGGTTGGTCGTGCGGGTGGCAGCCACTCGATGTGTCCCTTTCACGTCGATGTTTCTCTCTCTCTCTCTCTTCCTCTCTCTCCCTCCCACTCTATCTGTACAAAAGATGGAAAAATGTCCTCGGGTGAGGATAAAAAAAAAATAAAAAAAAAGTAAAGGTGTGTGCTACCTCTGTCCCTCAGTTCCTTAGACTTTTAACTTGTGTGTGTGTGTGTGTGTGTAAACCAAATAGGACATTTATGAACACACACAACATGCACACACATTATATTCTATGTGCTTTTACATAGAAACACTAGCATACCGTAACATTGGTTATTGACCGTTTCATTCAACATTGAGCAGCTTACTCCATGCCAGATACGGTTCAGGAACAGGGAATGAAGTAGGCAAATTTCACAGAGTTTATATTCTGTTGGGAGGAACAGGCAATTAAAACATTAGAAAGAGTGTCAGATAATTTCCACTAATGAGGTAGCTTGAAAATTGAAGCATGCTAATGTGAGAGAGGTGGCATTGTACAGGGCGCGCGCTTCTCTTGTATGAGGAGTCCATGCTTGAGCTGAGACAGCATCTGAATGACAAGGAACATCTGAGGGAGGAACCTTCCAGGAGTGAACATAATAAGTGACAAGCCAGAAGCAAGAATGTAGTATATGCCCTTTGCTTTTTCACTTAACAGTATATGTGGCAGATGGTTCCATGTCCCTCGCAAGTCAAACTCTTTCTCCTTCCCCTTCCCCTTCCTCTCCCCCTCCTTCTCCCCCTTCCTACCCTCCTCCCACCTCCTTCTTCCTGGCATTTGTATGGGATTCCATTATAGGGAGAAACCATCATTTATTTAGTCAGCCACATGTTGCTCTTTAAACAATCCGTAACCTTTTGCTGATTCCCGGGTGCTGACATGGACATTTTGAACGGACACCCTCGCCCTGTCTGCAGCTCCCTGCGGGCCGCGGTGCTGTGTGCGCGCCCCGCCCGCCCGCCACCCTGCAGGCCCCGCGAGGAGGAATCCGCAGCTGCCGTGAAAGCAGCGGCCGGCCTCGGCGCCACACTGCACCGTCTTTGGCTACTCCTCCTGGGAGGCGTGGAGGACGGAGCAAGTGCTTCGAGCCTCTCCGTGTGTGACGCTTTGTTTCCAGGTTCTCTTTCCCGAATGGGTCTTTGAGTCCCCCTGGTGGCATTCCTGATGCCGACACCTCCCGATAGATGCAACTTGGGGGAGCAGAGCTCACGCGCTGGCCTGGCCCCTGCCTGCTCCGGGTGCCTACAGACCCTGACCCCGGGGCTGGCCTGGGCACCACCGGCCCTGCACCCCGCGGATGGCGGCCCTGATCTCGCAGTTGCGCAGGCTGTAGACCAGCGGGTAGAGCAGCGGCGTGACGGTGGTGTAGACCAGCGCCACTGTGCGGTCCCACCGCGGGGAGTGGCTGGCCTTGGGCCGCACATACATGAAGGTGGCGCAGCCATAGTGCAGGAAGGTGACGGCCAGGTGCGAGGTGCAGGTGGAGGCGGCCTTGCGCCGGCCCCAGGGGGAGCGCAGGCGGCGCAGGGTGGCGGCGATGGCTCCGTAGGAGGCCAGGATGAGCAGGGAGGGCAGCAGCAGCAGCAGCAGGCAGGCGCCCAGCAGGGGCAGCTCATCCGCGTAGCTCCGCGTGCAGGCCAGGTGCAGCAGCGCCGTGATGTCGCAGAAGAAATGCACCAGCAGCCGGGAGCCACAGAAAGGCAGGTGGAAGACCGCCACCGTGAGCCCCAGGGACACTGTCAGTCCCCCGAGGCAGCAGGCCAGGGCCAGCCGTGCGCACAGCCCGGGGGTCACCACAGCGGCATAGCGCAGCGGGTGGCAGATGGCCACGTAGCGGTCATAGGCCATGGCGGCTAACAGGAAGCACTCGGCCCCGCCCAGCGCCACGAACATCTGCATCTGAACAGCGCAGCCCAGGAAAGAGATGGGGCTGCCCCGGCCAAGGCTGGGTGCAGCCAGGTCAGCCAGGGAGCGGGGCACCACCACCAGCGTGTAGCAGAGCTCGATGGCTGACAGCTGGGATAGGAAGAGCAGCATGGGCGGCCGGCTGGGCATGGAGGCCACGGCCACCAGGATGAGCAGGTTCCCACTCAGGGTGGCCAGGTGCACGGCCAGCAGCAGCAGGAAGAGTGTGGGCCTCAGGTGCGGGAACTCAGAGAAGCCTTGGAGCAGAAAGCCACAGGGCACGGTGGCATTCCAGGGGCTGTCCATGCGTGGCCCGCGCAGAGACACCTGTGGGAGAGAAATGTGGAAGGGCAAGCTTGTGGGGTGCTGTCCCTGCTGGTGGAGAAAGGGCCAGGTGGAAGTTAGAGGGTGGGAGGCAGTGGTGGATACAGAGAGGTGGCGGTTCAGGGTCCATGCCCAGCCCCTCCCGGTGAAGATGTCTTATTAACTTGCTCAGAAGCAGATGCCGGTCCTCCTGCCTCCGGGATAGAATCCTTCCAGCTGCTTTCTCAACATGCTCTTTCCAAAGACCCCTCGATTTTAGGCCCTTTCCTTGCACTGCATTGCTCATGACCTCCACCTACAAAGAATCCCTGTCTTCAAACTCCAGTTACCATTCTGAGGGGTCTGTATAGCTGTGAGAATTATGTCACCCTAGCCTGAGCTCCCCAAGGCAGGAAATGTGTCTTTAGGCTCTGCCTCTTTCCTCCTCCCTGCCCTAGGCTGTCGCTTCTGAGTTGCTATCTGAGTGTGTCACAGAATCACAGACACATAAAGCAGATGAAGACCTTAGAGTTCATCTCCTACAGCCTTGTAATTGTAAAGAGAAAAAGGAGCTGGGTGGTGGTGGTGAAGGGATTAGCTGCTCACAGAAAATTACGAACAGAACCTGCATTCCGTAGCCTGAATCCGGAACTTCCCACGACCGCAAATGAGGTTGTGAATAATGTCACTAAGTCCATATTGATTTCGTTTTAATACAGGACTATGCCAGGAGGTAGTGGGAGGGCCTGGCTGGGCGCATTCTAACGTACCTTTCTGGGTGAGCGTGCATTCCAAATTTACCAACTGAACATGGTTTCTTTCTTTCTTTCTTTTTTTTTTTTTAGAGAGAGTAGAAAGGAGGGAGGGAGAGAGAGAAACATCCATGTGAGAGAGACATATCAATTGGTTGCCTCCCACAGGACCCCAACTGGGGCCAGGGATTAGACATGTAACCTAGGTACATGCCCTGCACTAGAATCGAACCCAAGACCCCAAGACCCTTTGGTCTGTGAGCTGACATTCTAACTGCTGAGCCAAACTGGCCAGGGCTGAACACGGTTTCTTTCTAACCACTATTGCTGACTCATTTTCAGGCAACATTTGGAAAACATTTGATGGCCTGTAGGTTGATGGTGCTTGTTATAAAACTCGGGTGCGGGAAACATGGGATGATAAGAAATTCAAGGCCATGCTCACCAGAGGAGGATGTGTGACTTTTCTAATAGTTATTTATTTCCTCTCGCTGACTTGGAGTCCCGGCGTACAGTCCACACTGGAATTTGTGCATGGCTGTCCTACCGTAGCTCCAAAGCTGGGTCAAGGGCATGGCGGGGTGAGAGCTGGGAGCAATGCAAAGAGCTTGGGTTCTGCTAGCGACGGCTCCTTTTGGAGAAGGGAATTCTGTGGATTTCTATTGCTCCATGTCACCCTGTGCTTTTCCTGGTCATCTGAGGGGAATGTCTCCAAACAGGTGTGTGCAGTCTTGGGGAGGACTTGTGGGGTGAGGTTTTGGCCGGGTCTAAGGGAGGCGGAATCACTTCCCTTGTGCTTTAGAGACTTCCCCCTTTCTTTTCCTGGGGCCAGTATTCAGTCCATTGAGCAAACTTAACAAACCTCTTTTCACCGAGGGCCTCCTCTGGGCCAGATGTTGTCACTGCAGGTGTGAAGAAGAGAGAAGCCTGGCTGTCCCGGAGGTCCGGGCAGGATGTAACCTTGGAGGGGCCCACCGCAGCTCTCTGCTCCCTGCCCTGGCTCGCCCTCTCTACTCCTTCCTTCTTCGGGAAGCAGGGGGTGGGAAACAGGGGGGCAGAAACCATCCAGTTCTTTTGCCTTCATGTTCATACTGCCCCAAAATGGAGATGACAAGAAAGGCCAGGTGAAGGCACCAATAACTGTGCACCGAACATAGACCATGTTTTGTTTTGTTTTTTCAAGCAAAGGCTGCAAGGAGCAAGCTGGATGGGCCAGCGAAACCAAAAGGAGGCTGAAGGGCGTTTCCACTTTGTTTAGAGTGTTTAGGAGGATTTGTCCCAAACTCAAGGAATGCATGTTACAAAGGCCTTTTCTCTGAGGATGAGGGGGAGGGAACTGACACTTTCCAAACTCCAGTGCTTTTGTCCATTCAAAACCCAGCTGCACCCGAGTTGTTGAAATTACAGAGGGAAAAGAAATGGCTATGAGGTCTGCTTGAGCCCCAGGGACAGAAGGGCAGATAGTCTCATTCTTCCAGGTGATTCATGGTATCGATTATACTAACTATGCTAAGAGAGTGGCAGGCAGATGCTTGTAAGGACTTGACACATTGAACTCACTTAATCCTAGCGACAACCGGATGAGGTAGGGTGACTCGTACACTCACAGACGAGGGGACGGAGGCCTACAGGAATGACATGTCATGAGCCAGGTTTTACATCCAAGCCCTTGATGGCCCATGGTCCTATCCACTACATAGTCTTCCTTACTTGGATTGCTCCTAAAAATGCCCCCCACTTAAGGCACACCCTTACCCCTCTTCCCACATCTCCCACTGCCCCTGCCTAGAAATTAGCCGCATCCTCCTAGGCTCGGCCGTCCTCAGATTTCCCTTTGTTGACATTCTCCTGAGGCCATGTGGGTGAGAGCAGTAATACAGATCATCTAAGAGAGCAAATCTAAAAATAATTTCCCCTTAGCTTTGACATTCGCCGCGGCTGCTGCGGTTGTTTGGCAGGTCTGCTCCTCTCATTGTGTGCGGCTCCATGGAGCGCCCGCAGAGTCACGGCTGGCGGGTGGCCCAGGACATGGGGACGGGGCTGGGAGCCTCGCCGGGTCTGATGTTCATGGTGCAGTCACAGTATAATTAAAGTGGCCTGTAATAGTGATGCTTTTAAAATCGGTCACTTCAATAGTCCATGGAAGCTCTTGTAAAGAGAGGGGATGAGATGGGCGATCTGAGAGGCAGACAGGTCAGGCCCCTCCAGGACCCCGGACATGACCACCTGGCATCTGTCATTTTGACAATCTGACCTCGAACTGGTCACCACCCTGGACCGATCCCAGGGCTAAGAATATGGGACTGATTAGCCTCAAGAATGCACTTTGGACTATAGGAAGTCAACTCTTCTTCCTTCTTCTGAACATTTTTGGGCTTTGCCTAGCTGTGTTCCCAGTTGGAGAGCTCTGAGACGCTGGAGGAAGGCTCTAGACTCCTTGTGAGTTCCTTCAGCATGAGTTAGAACCCAGCTCCTGCAGGACCGCGGCCGCCTCTGGGCGCCTGCAGAGCAGCTGCCGGGTGTAATTACAACAGTGACTCCTTTACCGGGTGATCAGGCATCTCCTTGATTTGTGACAGAGAGCTCGAAACTTACTAACGTACACGTATCTGCCTTATTATGTATTTCATAGTTAGATTTGTCTTCTAAAATAAAACCCTGGAATTAAGACTCGTTTATCATTTTCTTGCTACGTCACGCAAACTTACATCTTTTAAAGGTGGTGCTTTTCTCATCGGTTCGATATCTCCTTTACTCGAAGGAGCTAAAGATCATCCCTGGGTTTTACTGTGGGTCCCCGCTTCCAACAATGTATCGTTTCAGCCTTGACGGGGACATGTGCCTCCTTTCTGTCCTGTGTTTGTCTTGTGAACTGCGTGCTTTGGCGTGATGAAGCAGTCCTCTGATTCTTGATGACTGAATTTGGTAAGATAGCTTGTGGAAGGGTTTTTAAAGTCTAAATAAAAAAAAAAAATCCTCTTTTATTTCTTCTTGGCATCTTTGTCCCCTAACAGCATTTAAATAGATGGAATGGGGCATATTCTCCTTACGCAGGTGTTCTTGCCCCTCCCCCCATTGGTGTTTTCTGAAGTATTTAGTGATCCTACTTGTTATAAAAGCGATGGGGGTGGGAGGGGTGCGAAGAGATAAACCAGAGAACTTATATGCATATATACACAACCAATGCACACAGAGATTAATTGGGGAAGGCGGAGAGGGCTGAATCAGGGTGGGGGGAGCAGGGAGGGGAGGAGAGGCCAATGGGGGAAAAGAGGAACATCTGTAATACTTTCAACAATGTTTTTTTAAAAAGTGAGGTGCCCTTGATGCTTTGTGTCTTGTCGGGAGTTCTTAAAGTGATGGTTCCAAGGGCAATCTTTTCATCCTCCCACTCTAGGTCCATGTGCTACCTTGGGTTTTGCATTTGGGCTGACATTTATCCTTCAAGTGTCCTGACAATTCAGAGTTGTAACCATGTGTGCACTTGTGTTTAGGGCCCCCGAAACAGTTGCCACTGTTAATTCTCTTTTCTTAAATCAACTGTGGAATTAGGCTTCGAGTGAAGTGTCATCTCAGGCTTCATGCTCTCTTTTATGCTCGTCTGAAGAGGAATTTTCAACCACACAAACCTGGGAGGCCTGCTGAGTTTCAAGCGAGCTGTCTGCCTCTGCTGCTTCTAAAGAAATTCTCAGCTTGAACAAAGCAGCATCCATTTAAAGTGACATCTCTGACCCAGGCTTCTGCCAGAGGAACAGGGATGCACTTCAAAAAACGAGCCCTTCTAATGTTCAACATCAAAACTGTCTGGCAAACAGACTGTCCCCGTTCTGGGACTGTGAAGGTCATCCTCATCATGCATAAATGCCTGGTCATTGCACTGTCACATTTTGAAAAGTATTCTAGGCCTGAGGGCTAGTCACTTTACCGGCTTGAAATAATATTAACCTCTTTGCTTTGTCGGGACACTAGTTTGTTTTCTAAATTCATGAGATCAACTGTCGTTTGCCATGACATCGGTTTGAGTAGGTTTGAAAACCCTTTTACTTTCTAGACTGCAGCTTCGGCCTCAAAGCAACAAGAGGGCTCCCCGCCAAACCCAGGTGATCCTCCCACGGAAAGATGCTGTTCTGTGTCTTGTTGGCCACAGACTGACAGCTGGGACTAAGGCACAGGGCAAGGCAGCTGCTTGGATGAGGACAGCCGGCTTTCTTAGTTCTGCCAGGGTATTTTCATGATTCATTCAACTGAAAAAAACACCAGCACAAAAATCCACTGGTGAAAAAGAAATACGGTGCCGTCCTAGGCCAGCCACCATGAAGGAGAAGCCCACTGATA